AGTAAAGCCAAGCTTAATAATCTATCTTGTGAAATGGTACTACGTAGGTGGTTGTTTATGAGTTTTAGTTTTGAAAAAGACCTTTCAGCAGAAGCATAAGTGACTGGCATAGTTATGAATATCATTGTAGCCGTAAATACATCAGGAAAAATAGTTGATAGATTTTCTTTTAATATAAATAATGATCTTTTATTGTCATCTTTTTAATGTCACTGTTATTAGTGGTATTATCCTTTGAAAGAAAAAAATCTTGAAGACTGACTATTTGACGCGTGAAGTCACTACTAATATCGTCACGGTACTTTTCAATAAAATCATAAGTTGACTTAATTAAAAGTTAATTTATTTACTTAACCTTAAACAATTAAACACTAAACAATTAACTGATAAATGATGATACTCCGAGCAGTCGTTAGTTACTACTTTACTAGTACCTAAGTCAATATTAAGCTCGGTACTAAGAAAATAATAATTAAAAAGTAGGTATCGTCAATATTTATCATTAAAATTACAAAATATATTTTATATTTATACCAAAACCAGCAACTCAAACAGTCGGGGTCGTGGTCGTGGTCGTCGTATCAGTCGTATCATATTGACATTTTAATAGTTTATAAATAATGTTGAAATATACAATTAATATGTAGTATATGTAGTCAGCCTTGACACGTGTGTACAATATAGTAACTAGTTATGTACGAGCATAAGACTCACTCTCTTTACGGATGTAACATGACCTCGGTCGTGCATATATATAGGGCCTTTGATGTATGTAATATTCACTTGCACAGGCGTCGTTGTACAGAGCGTATACGATGTGTGTGTTCTGTCACAGTTTAATTGTCCAGTGCTACGTTATTATATATTATACTTATACATAATCATATTGTCGTGTTATTACTTATTATATTAATGATAACATCATTAGTCCGTCAAGCTTCACTTTCAACAAATAAACACTAAATACTAATAACATTACTTATATTATGGCGCGTCGTCACTCGTCAACCGTCGTCGTTTTCGACTATCAGCCAGTTGTTCTTCCGACAATTCGACAAACAACGACCCATAGAGGCATAGTCGCATAGACGCGATAAAAATAGATGTTATGGAAAAATTGATAGTACCATTGATCATATAATATACAAAAACGTCAAAAACCTACCATCCTATTTTAACATAGGTAGGTACCTACTTATCAAATATTAGTATACATACAACTACATTAATGTTTAAACTTAAAAAAAAAAATTATTGTGAGTAATTGATTTTGCGTTTTTAGACAATTTATGTGTTTGCTCCAGGTTGGGCCCGGCCCCGGGGCCCCCCAAATGTATGTAAACCTTGGGGCCCGTGTGCGCGGCACGCTCTGCACACCCGGTTTTTGCGGCACTGGTAAGCAATGATTCTCAACATAGTGCAGCTGTCGTGCTGCTAAGCGCTGTAGGGCTTTTTGTTTCAAAGATTGATAACCACTACTAATAAACTGCCGCTTGGCGCATGACGGTCAGCGCTCATTTTTCGTTGCCGCGACTATAGACTGGTTTGCGATAACTATTTAGTATTTAGTGTCGCCGCTATGATACGGTCACGTTGGCGCGGACAACTTCTTTGTCCCGAATCGCCCGCCTATCAGAATAATAATAGATAGTGTTACGTACAGCCCTTCAAGGATCCAAAAGCTGATATACTTTTATAATAAACAATAGTAATCAAATGTATTTTATTAAAACCAAATAAAATAAGCAGAACAGTCGTAATAATTGTGTAGTTGAGTGAATTGCAGCTCGTTCTAAAATGATAATCTCCGTGTAATTGTGTGTGATGGCTGGCGGCTAAGCGAATCGTACGTTGTTCACATCTCTGGATACAATCTGCTCAGGCTGTCTCGCAGTCCCCTATATATATGGTGGCGGTGTCCTTTGAAAGTGAGTGGAGTGTGTATAGTCGCCCTTGATTTGATATGGACCTCACGAATAAGAGTGGTATTCTAGTCGTAAACACTTTGGGTGTGGTCATTGCTTGCTTTTCACATTCCTGGTTGTTTTTATGAGCAAGTACATGAAATTACGTAATCCCATTACACCGTCAACAACATACTCTTAATTTTATAGTATTTGTTCTACCTCCATAGAAAGCATCTCTCGGATTAATAGGACCTACTACCTCAATTGCATTCAAGTTTTTATTCAATCTTTTGTATACATCACTGTTTATCCAGACATCCAGTTACATTCCCATTTATCAACAAGATTATATCCTGCATTTTTTATTCTCATATTTCTGTTAATTGTTTTTTCAAATAGATCCTCAACTGTCTCTGTAGGCAATAGTATCAAATCTCCCTAGAATTGATATACTATATACCACGACGCTCACGAATCTATGAGGTTAAGTGTTTTTGTTGACACAAATAATAGATCACACACTCTGCATAATGATAATACAAGATATATTTTCACACATTACGACGGATCAAATATAAATAAAATAAAATATATCTTAATGTATAAATACGGCAATCCCGTTTAACAAGACTTTTATTCTAAATTCCCTAACGGACCGGTCTCAGAGAAATATAATATATCATACATATGAATATAGATATCAAGAATAATTCACAATAAATATTAGCATAATAAAATAACAACTAGACAATGTGACGATTTTAGCCCCCATGGCTTTACAAGAATAATAATAATATAACGATACCCGACCGCATATGCATCTGCCGGGAACGCTGCTGCCGCCGCCGCCGATCATAGACCGATATGGCACAAGTTACGCAATCACGGTGACAGTTTTATATTATTATCACGCAGCGTACGAGTATACGCCCTCACACCACTATAATATATTGTAATCCGTGTCACTCACCGCCGTGGTAACAACACCGTAAAATCGATAACCCTTAACGCGGCACAATAATAGTAAAAGACAGATTTACACTGGTCGCGACACTAGAACGATTAACGTACATTTTACGATAATAAGGCCGGCGATCATCGATACCTGTCACGCACGACCGCACCAGGTGTGTTACGTATAAACGCAACGGCCGAACTGGTTGGCGGCTATAATATTTAATAATTATAATAATTATTATGATATCACCACAGCTGCGACGTACGCGGTGGCGGTGGTGGTGGATTGTAGTATCCCTCGCACGGTCGTCGTTATCATCGTGCTGGCTTATACACATATCGGCACATATTGGTCCGAACATTCTCCCACCATTGAAGGCCTGTACTTCAATCATTTGATGCTGGATGGTAGAGGTTGGTGGAAGACGGCCTGAAGATTACAGCTAATATTAAAATAAAATTTTTTTGGCAATTTGAAAAAAATAACAAGTTGGAATTACAGACAAAAAAAAATATATATATAATAAATAAATAACAATAATAGTAAACGTGCATATCACAGGAATGGGTTGTTTACACAATTTCATTTGGTTTTTGTATGTAAGGGGATCATACTTCGGTTGGAAGTTTAACCAATTGAACGGCCGGACGTTTGGTAGTTCCTTTGGCAGTTTTCAGGGTGACCACACGGACGATACCGTCTTTGCCTGGGTGTATCTCAATTACACGGCCAGTTGGCCATACAGTCGGTGGCGTATGTGGCGTTTTGACAATCACGACATCTCCAACCGCCAAACTAGTTCCAGTCGAAGCCCACTTAGATCGGACTTGTAGGGTAGACAGATACTCGTGTGACCATCGATGCCAAAACTGCTGGTTACATTGGCGCAAAAGTTGCCATCGAGTGAGAACATTTTGTTTGGTGAGAGTGAGATCTATATCTGGTAATGCCATGAGTGGTTGACCGATTAAAAAATGTCCAGGGGTGAGACAATCAATTTCACTCGGGTCTGAGGACAACGGTGTCAATGGACGAGAATTTAAGATACCTTCAACTCTAGTCAACAAGGTTGTTAGTTCCTCAAATGTGAGTACTTGAGTACCGATCGCTCGTTTCAAGTGGAATTTGGCTGACTTAATCCCGGCTTCCTATAGTCCTCCGAAATGAGGCGCTGCGGGTGGATTAAAATGCCAATTGCACGTGGTGTCATTGATTACGATGGACTGTTCTTTTTCTAGTCCTAATAATGTTTGTAAGTGCCGTTCTGCTCCTACGAAGTTAGTACCGCAGTCGGTATAAACATCGGTAGGCGATCCTCTCCGAGCAATGAAGCGATCAAAGGCCGCTAAAAATGCTTCGGTCGATAATTCTGTTACAGTCTCAATATGGACAGCCTTCGTAGCAAAACATACGAATAACGCCATGTACGCCTTGTATTCTCTTGCCTTTCGTCGGCGGTTTTCCCGGACTATAAACGATCCTCCATAATCAATGCCGACGTGGCAAAATGGGCGACTTGGTGTAATCCTTGAAGTGGGGAGATCCGCCATGATAGGTTGTGGATGAACGGCAGCCCATTTGGTGCATGTGATGCATCGGTGAATAACTTTACGAATTTCGTTTCGAGCCGAAGTAATCCAGAATACTCGAGAAACTACGGATCCCAGCCCACGTGGTCCTGCGTGTAAATAACAGCGATGATAGTGTTGTAAGATCAGACACGCTATATGTGACCCTTTGGGCACCAACATGGGAAATTTGGCATGTTCACTCAAATTTGAATTTCGAAGTCGACCTCCCACCCGAATGATACCACACTCATCAAGGTACGGCTTAAATTTTCGGAAGGAATTAGGAATGTTACTCGGGGGGCTATCATGTAACCTTTTCATCCATGTCCCAAAGTATTGGCGTTGGGTCATGTATACTAGCGTGTCTCGGGCTTTCTGCATGTCTGACCGATGAATAGGTCCGTTGCCTGTCCTGGATTTCTTCGTTTTAGCAATAAAACGCCATACTAATGCAAACACCCGTTGCGCAAACGATAGGGACGAGTATCGGGAGATAATTCCCGCGAAGTCACCTGTTGTATTGACTAGTGAGACCAGGGGACCGAGTGACTTTAAATCAGGCAATTATTCTGGAGGTATGGGGATAAACTGACTATCTGTTGGTTCCAGATCCGTTAACAGATTAGGCCCGTTCCAATAAAAAGTATACTGCGCTAATTGTGACGCTAATATCCCCCTAGAAACACAGTCCGCTGGATTGTCTTCGGATGGTACATGATTCCATTGACAATCGGGAAGTAATTGCCGGATTTTAGCGATTCGATTGGTCACAAATATTTTATAATTAATTTGAGGTGATACCAACCAAGATAAGACGATCGATGAGTCGGTCCAGGAATACATCTTGTCAATATTTACCTGGGGTTCCAACGCGGTTTACAAGCGATCCATCCACTTGGCCAATAACAGTGCACCGCATAACTCTAAGCGGGGCGTAGTCATGATCTTGACCGGGGCTACCTTCGACTTTGCTCCTAAGAGATATATATTAATGGTACTACAGGTATACTCGTATGTAGACCACCGCCGCATAGCCTTTATTCGATGCGTCACAGAATCCGCACAAATGTATTTCGGTAGCCGAGACAATGTCAATATGTCTAGGCAACGTGGATTGGGACACGGCAGGGAGATCTTCCAAGTACGCCCGCCACTGGTTTAGTAGATCAGGTGGTAATTCACTATCCCAATGAAGTCCTAACTTCCATAATCGCTGCAAAAAGTCATTGGCCCAAAAGGTGACTGGTGCCAGCATACCAATCGGGTCATATAACCTGGCAATTACGGACAAAACTCCTCGTTTGGTATATACGCCTAGTTCTGGTGACACATGATATCCAATCACGTCATGAACGGGATCCCAATGTGATCCAAAGACTCGTACATATGCGTCTTCAGAATTTTCAAACGGTATGGTAGTTTCTGAGCGTGAGGATGGATCTGTCCGGGCTAATACTTCATCACAATTGCTATTCAAAATTGCTAGTCCACTTCTTCAGCTCGAACCCATGTTTGGCCAGCACTGCCATTAAATCTCTTTGTAAATCTAACACACCATCTAGAACCTCATCACCCGCACAAACATCATCTACATAAGTATTATGGAACAACGCTTCATGTACCTTTGGATGTTTGGCACGACACGACTCGGCCACCCGATGTAACACTTTGATGGCTAAGTATGGAGCAGGTCCGGTCCCATAAGTTACGGTGTTGAGTTCATACTCAATCAGTTCCTCAGCAGGGGACGGTCGCCACAGAATATGCTGAAACGACCGGTGTTCTGGTCGAATGAGTATTTGCCGATACATCTTGCAAATATCGGCCACGAAAACAAATCGCGGAAAACGAAACCGTAACAGAATATCTGTGATGTCATTCTGGAGTTTCGGACCCGTCAAAAGTACATCATTACATCATTCAATGAGTGTCCACCTGAGGATCGGGAAGACGCGTCAAATACTACACGGATCTTCAATTTCCCATTTTCGTCCTTGGTGACGGCATGATGTGGAATGATGTAATCGCCAGGAGTGTTAGCTACTTGCATATGCCCTAACCTGATATACTCAGCCATAAAATCACGGTACGCCTCATACAAGGTAGGATTTAAAATTAATCTTCGTTCTAAATTTAAGAATCGCTTTTGGGCTATATTCCTTGTCCCTTTCAACATTTCTTGCGGATTAGCGTCTCGAAACGGCAACGGAACTATATACCTACCAGATCGATCTATCATAGTGTGTTCGAAGAATAACTTTTCACAAAATCCGTCTTCAGTAGTTTCACTTGGTGCGTTCGTTGGTTCATCAACTTCAAAGAATTTCCGAATGACGTCGCCAAAGAAACAACAACAGCTTGATGATAGGAAGTTGCGGCAGGATATACCGGACCAATGAGTATCCATCCAAATATAGAACTATACGCCGTGGGATTACCTTCTTCAGACTACTGCTTTCCATCGAACACATGATGATACAAATCCGCGCCTAACAACAAATCGATTGTCGCTGGAATGTCAAACTTGGGGTCGGCCAGCGCTAAATGAGCATATGAACTCTTGATGGATGCTAGAAGTGGTGACGTCGGTAAATTTACAGTTATGATTGGTAACACCCAAGTGTTGACCTCGATTTCGGTATTACTGTCGAACCTAGATGTAATGGTACACGAAGTTAAACCTTTCACTGTGGGTAGCGTAACACCGGCTAATCCTGACACTGGGACCGTCCATTTTTTAATAGTTAATCTGAGGTGGTGGGCGCACGATTCGGTTATAGCACTAATTTGCGACCCTGAGTCAACTAAAATTCGTACATCCACGGTTTGACCGAACCGATCACGGGTGTGAGCCATGGCTGTTCCCAAAACTACCGTGGATGGTCCCATTTTTCCAACATGAGATACGGCACCGGTCGATACAGAGCTAGATGATGCCCCACGATTCATACCACCTGGTGCCGAGCCCGAACTCCCACCATTGTCTGATGGTGGTCTGACCCTAGATTTTTGGAGATGTAATAAACTGTGATGTGACCCCTTACATGTAGCACAAAAAACGTCACTGGTAAAAGCTGATGATACATGAGTAGCACTCAAAGATCGGAAACACCGACGGAAACTAGTTATCATCTTAAACCGCTTCGGAGGTTGCATAGATAGAAACTCTGAGCATTATAATAATTATTATGATATCACCACAGCTGCGACGTACGCGGCGGCGGTGGTGGTGGATTGTAGTATCCCTCGCACGGTCGTCGTTATCATCGTGCTGGCTTATACACATATCGGCACATATTGGTCCGAACAGTCTCATTATTTATATTATTAATTATTTCTCTGTCACTAAAACATCTAGTACCAATGCCAAAAACACACATAATATTGGTATACAGTTTTTAACTTTTCATCAAAACCGTCAACTCTAACATCTAATATTTTCTTTTCACCACCATTTAAGGCATGACAGATATTTTTGTTATTAAAATGTTGTATCCACATTATAGACTGTTTAGAATAGGTTTCATTTTTCTCTTTATCTAAAACAGCTATAGTGCCTTTGTTTAGAAATGTTGATCTATATATAGCCATACAAACACCTGCTATGGTTACATATTTAAAAGCGTCAATTAGTCTTTTCTAAAAAATCTTCTCTAAGTTTCAAACAACCTCTTCTCAAATTGTCTACGTCTGATGTACAATACTGTAAAAGCTCTTTCTTCATGTCAAAAATATAATTTTCTTGTTCTTTTAGTAAATGCCATTCTAAAAATTCTTCTCTTTATTCATGTTTCATTTGATCAAAACAGTAGTATTTTTTATCAGGAATAGGCCCAACATAATTAGTATTTTGTAGAGTATTAAAAAAATGAGGAAAAAATCCTTTTTTTAATTCTGATAAACCAAATGTTTTAGGAAAATTTTCTAAGGGTCCCTGAATAATATTACTACTGTCGATAATTCTTAGATTTATTACTGGAATTTTTTATAACATTAATTTTGAACCATTGTAAATTGTTACAGGCTTTAGAGTATTTTCAACACAATATTAATATCGAATCATAGGCTTTCGAATTATGTGCTATACATGTAAAATTTATATGTATATTTGATATTAACCATTTACATAGTTCATCATTTGTGTCAAATTTGTATATTTTACCTATAAAATCAGAAACAATTATTAAGTTTTGAATATGTGTACCAGTTTCTTGTTGAGCCTCCTAATCCAAGAATAAATATTTTTCTGTATAGGTACATTTTGGTAGTTTTGGTTCTTCACTCTCACCAAAAATCTCATTTGCAGAAGGAAATGGGTATAGTAAATCTAATAATCCTTTGTTATTCAATTTACTATATTGTTTCACTTTATTTTCTTTTGCTTTAATTCTTAGTTCTTTAAGATTACAATCTTTAATATTTTTATCAACGTTACCTTTACATAAGCAAATTTCTCTTTTACATTTACCTCCTTTCTGACTAAGCCATTGAATGTAACATTTATGTTTTGCTATTTCAACTTCTTTCCAACAATTTCTACATTTCTTTATTCCGCATTTATGTTCATCAATTCTCATGCAGATTTTATTACAAACCAGACATTTAAAAGCTACTACACAAACTTCCTGATGACTTTCAAGACATTCTTGATTAAAGCTATACCTATTACATTTTTCACAGTACACTCTTTCGGACTTTCCTTTTTACTTAAATGTTTAAGTTTTTTACATAATAAACATATTATTTTTTTTATCTTTACATTTATGTTTATCTTTGTTACTATATGGTGTATTGCATTTATTACAATAATAAGAAGTGCCATAAAATCCTTTAATTTTAGTAATGGCATCAAAGTGATTACCTCTTTTAAATAAATAGAATTTATATCTTTATCTATTCCTTTATAGATTATCTTATTTTTACTTTGAGCACATATAATATTTATTTGAATTTTTAAAATACATTCGACATTATAAATATCATCTAACGTAAAGCCTTGTGAGTTATATGTTGTTAATAAAGTACATAATTTTAATGCAAGTTTTTTTGAATTGGTCTACTTTCCTTAAGATATTGTATTTGATTTTTACTTAATTCTTCACCTAAGATATTTTTTGTTTTATTAGCAGAATATTCTATAGAAGTGGCTAAAGCAACAACAATAGCTCTTGGAATAAATTATCATCATTATTATTAATTCCAATAATACTAGATTTTTTTGTTATGTCATCAACTAAGTTTAATATTTTTTTCCCTTTGGCCCCTCTAGGAATTTTTACTACTTGAACTACAAATTTGGTTTTAGAAATATCAATTTCTTGATCCGATGTTAATATTTCAGATACTTTTTCCTGAAGACTTACTAAGAATTTTTCAGATTTTAAGCCCGTAGATATACAATTAAATAACTCATCATTAAATAGTATGATATTTATTTTATCACCTTTCTCATAATTTGATTGACTTTTGCTATATTAATATTTCTTTTAATCTTTTATCAATATAGTTAATTTTATTATTTTTATCTGCTGATATAAGATCCTCTGTTAAGCCTTCTTTGAAATTAATAGTAAAAGTAGCATCATATATCTGAATCTTGTTGTAAATTGATTTCTTATATTAATTATTTCTATTAAATCATATTTATCATTTAACGAGTTGTTAGTTTGTTCTTCAAAAATTGATTCATCTAGGTTATAGAAAGGATTTAGATTTTTTTATTTATTTTATTTTTATTTTTATAATTTAATGAAGGTTTAATTTTAAAATGTATTTATTTATTTATATTATAAAGGTGAGTTTAAGGTCTTATTTGTTTTAGTAGATAAATATAGATGGATTTATGAAAATGTAAATGTAATTTGAGCAATAATAATAATACTAATGATAATAATATTTTTTGGTCACTCACTGCTTTTGGATCCAGATGTTCATCTACTTTTCTGTACTAACCTATTAATAAAGCCAAAAATCCAAAGTTCAGTGGAGAGATTATGTACGTCAACTGTGTTGAGATAGATAGAAATCAAGGTGATAACCATGGCTTAAATATACAAGGTTATTGCACATAGCCATTATTGTTATCAAATAAAATAAAATGGCAGCGTAAGGGTCACGATTCTTTATCAATTATTGTTATCACTTAATTATATAATGTATATATTCATATAATATACAGCCAATCAAAACATCGCCCCTTACGCTGCCATTTTAATTTCTTAACAAGATAAAACGATTTAGTGGGGGTACTATTGCAATAACCTTGTATATTTAAGCCATGGTGATAACGTAAGCCACAACACGTGACAACGGGA